CAAAGTGATAGCGAGCCCATACCGAACCAGAATCACGTCTGGCACCGCAGGACGCAGCCACTCCGTAACAATACCGAATCTGTCTGAACCGTGTTTCCGCACCAATTCCGCACCAATGTCGACCTAAGGTAGCACCATCACCCGCCGTCCATGCGACCATCCTCGGACTGACTTAGTGGTGTTAGTAATCAGGCAAATCGGGATGGCGACACGGAAAATCTTGATCATCAGGGAACAACGAAAAGGTTAGAGTTCAGAGAATCTGATTAAGTCTGGACCCTAAGCTGACGGTAGGTAATCCAAGCAAGATCGGGCCAAGCATCGAATAATCATTAGTTCCGGTTTGTCCCATCATTTTCAATTATTCTCCTTTTCTTTTAATTCCATTGTCTGAATTAGTGACATAATCGTAAATTTACAAAATTTAATTTCCGAGGGGTTTTTAATTAAATAATCGAAATTCCTTTATTTCTCTTTTCCTTTATGATTTTTAATCTTTTCCTTCGTTTTCAATTTAATCGCTGAAAGTGTAAAACAACAAGGTACCTCCTCCAAAATTTAGTTGTCGCAAAAAATAATAAAATTAAGGAATACTCTGCTTTTCTTCTCCCTCCCTATTGCTCTTAGTATTTTCCCTGATTTATAATTTAGGTACCAAAATTGACAAAAATTCGGGGCGCCATTTCGGCCCCAGTCATACCCCGCAAAAGCATTGCGGCGGGTCAGTTCCCGCGTCGCATTTAACCATTTTCAAGGGTTACTTCTGTGAGACGTCATGGAAAAAATTAAGGGTCCCTTCTCTACCCCTAATTTTTCCAGGCACGTGAGGCGAAAGTCCTGGTCTAGTCCCGTACTTCCATTTAATTTTAGAGCCGAAATAGCCGAATCTAGGTCGACCGACTGGGGTTCGGTCGCCCGACAAACAAGCCCGGACCTCTTCTCGACGCCCCCGTCGAGCCCGCAGTTTCTAACAGACGAAACGTACAAGATCTAAGACAATCACACTCGCGTGCGGCTCACGGCGACGTCTCTCTGTTTTACGTTTCGGTCTCTCTGAAACCCTGGGACTAAGGGGATGTCTCTCTCCCTTCTTGTGTCGCGGTCGTTTCGGCCTAGGCTTTGGTGCCCTTTTCGCTCTTTTACCTCGTTGGAGAAGTAACCCCGTAGGTGTTCCCCCTCGTCTCATACAAACTCGGCGTTTGGGTCTCTTTAGCACGAATGCCCACTTCTTCTTCTTTCTCAATGTCAAGCCCTTGACTTTCCTGGTTTTCACTCTCTTCCTCTTCTTCGAACTCTCTCCTACTTCGTACCGTCTGAGTACCCTATCGTCCGTTACTTTTGCCTTTCCTTTCTCTTTCGGGTCAGACAGCCTCAGAATAGGAGCAGCAGTCTCTCTAGGCCTGAATAACTTCAATCTAGCCCCCGCTACAAGATTTTTTCATCTAGACCCATCCTATGTGTCCGAAAGTTGATTCAACGGGGGTTTTGAGTTGAACGGATCAACTCTCGTTGATCCTTCGTTGCAACTCCCCGTTGTACCTCGTTAGACCGGGGTACAACTCGGCTCACGAAATTTTTTTTCGACGGGAAAAAAACGGCAAAAAAATAAATAAAAAATAGGGGTGTAGATTTTTTTGCTCTCTACATCCCCATATTTTTTTTAAAATTTTTTGAGCATCTAATTATTTTTAAAAAGTCAAATACAGAAGCGGACTCAAAAGACATAGATTTTTTTTTCCAGTTTTTTTTATTGATTGATTGATTGATTGATTGATTGATTGATTGGTAGGGGATGGGGCGCCCCCCCAACCCCCACCAACTCACACACACACTTACAAACCGGGGTACAACTCTCTCTCTCTCTCTCTCTCTCTCTCTCTCTCTCTCTCACACACACACACACACACACACACAGACATACACACACACATACACACACACATACATACACACACAAACACACAATCTCTCCCTTGCGCCGAAGTTGCACGGGGAAGTTGCGCGGGGTTGCGCCGCGCACCTTCGGCGCAAGTGTGTGTGTGTGTGTGTGTGTGTGTGTGTGTGTGTGTGTTTTGTGTGTGTGTGTGTGTGTGTGATTGGGTGGGGGTTGGGGGGGCGACCCATCCCCTACCAATCAATCAATCAATCAATCAATCAATCAAAAGAGGAAAAAAAAGTTAAAAAAAAAAGCGGGAAAACCCGCTCTCAAGGGCATCCTTGATCCGATGGGTATACGGAATAGATTTCCTGCCCTCAGACAGTATTGGGTTGCTTGTCTCCGAATCTCTGAGTCTGGACACTCCTCACCTGACAGATGCAGCCCAATCACACGGTACTTTCCTTCGTAAAGGTTCACTAGGAATTGATCCGTGCGTCGAGGCTCAATAATCGTTAGTGCTGTCGCCGCTATCGGCCGTTCGGTCTCAATCGGGATGTGTGAAAGCCCATCAGCCACAGCGTTCTTTGCACCTGAGATCCTCTCGACAGTATAGTCGTAGAGTCGTATCCTGATCAGCCATCTGGCAATCGTAGGATCGGTTAAGGTGAAGTCCTTTTGTAGGACTGCAGCCACCGCAGTAGGATGTACTCGTAGGACAAATCGTCGTCCGTAAATGAAATGCCTAAACGTATCTAGGCATCGCAACACAGCGAAGACCTCTTTCTTGAACTCACTATAGTTGCGCTCCGCCGTGTTAAGAGTGTGACTCTCGAACCTCAATGGCCTCTCCTTACCATCCGCATCTTTTTGCGAAAGTAGTCCTCCGACCGAGCACGGTCCAGCGTCCGTAGACACTATGAACGGCCTATTGGTCTCGTAGTCGAAGAACGACACTCCTAGAATTCAGCCACCTTCCTTGAATTCCTCTTCAAGTCTCAGGACGGCGAGTTCCTGAGAAGAATCCTTGTAAAACTTCTCCGTTTTCCTAAGGAGAATCCGTAGTGGCTCTGCTTTCTCCGCGTACGCTCGTATGAAAATCCGCAAGTACCCCACGACACCGAGGAACTGACGTACTTTTGTCGCACTGTGTAATGGTGTCGGCTAGTTCAGAAATTTGTCCAGCTTAGCTCGATCGGCTCGTTGATCTCTCGAATCGCAGATGAATCCCAATATCTTGATCGACGACACGGCCGATCTGCTCTTGGTTCCGCTAACTGTCAAGTTTGCCTCATCCAATTGCTCACGTATCGCGCAAATGTCTGTCAAGTGCTGCTCCACGAACCTCCTGACTCCAGGCGCGACCTCAGTCTCATCTTTCAGTATTGGTCCTTTAATCGGGAAGTTGTCTAAAAAGACTTCGACCTTATCTGGAATAAATTTTTAAGTACGGCCACCATCGCTCTTTGAAATACTGCGACTCCGTTGGTCCATCCCATAGGCACCACCATCATCTGGACTAATCCCAACGGTGTGTGCATTGTCGTAAGATGCTGGTCTCTAGGGTCCAGCGGTATCTCGTCATACCCTGAAAATAGATCACATACAGAGTAAATCGATCTGCCCGCTGCTCCCTCTGCTAACAGATCTGCGTGAGGTATAAACCCGACATCTCGAATGGTGACTGCATTGACTTTTTGGAGATCCTGAATCCAACGGATCTTCCCGTTCGGCTTTCGTATGAAGAACCATCGATTCGCGTACGCACTATCTGATGGCTCGGCTACATGAGATGCCATCTTCTCTTTCAGAAACGCTATCATTCTTCCTTCTCCTTCTGCGCAAACTTTCATCCTGCGTCATTTCATGGAGTATGCGGAATCGTATAGATCCTGGCAGGCTGGGCGAACCTAGGATCAATCCTGCCCCTCTCCTCGTCACTGAAGGCTATAGCCTTATCGCATGTCTTAAGCACCTCTAGGACTCTCTCCTTCTCTTGTTCCGTCAAATTTTCGTCTCCTATGTCCATCGCTCCTTGCTTTAACCCGGAGAGGCATTGGCAGATACTAGTTGTACAACAAATCAATTCACAGACCAAGTGATAGCCGAGTGTTTTCAAACACGTAGAACAAAAAGGAATAACAGAATTCTGCAGTGATGTGATTCCCTACAACACGCAATAACATCTCCAAATGTTTAGACGGTCTACCCATGTTTTCAAACACGTAAAACAGAATGAAGTAAGAAAATTCTGCGGCTAAGTAATTCCCAACGGTACGCAAAAACGTCACCCAATGTTTAGAATGTTAACCGAGGACGACCGACCGGCGTGTACATGCATTCATTGAAAGTTCGAACAGGCGACCAGAAAGTAAGACACTACGGCGCATCGACTGGAGCATCTTCTGCGAACATAGAAATATATTTCATGTGGACGAACCCGGTCCTTCTGGCCAGAGACCTGCCTATAGCATCCCGTGTAGAGAACGCTTGAGCTTCAACCTCACGCCATGCGTCCACATCGTCCACCTTACCCCCGATTACCAAATCCCATGTCCCTTCGAATTCTCCTGTGACCAAACCCATCCCGTCTCTCACGAGGTGCAACTCATTCCTGGACACGTAGACCACAGCGTCAGTCAAGGTCCCATTCCGATTCGAACACGCGACGCAAAGGGCCCTAAAAAAGAATAACATTCGGAGACGCAATCTAACGCAGCAGTAGGAAACTGCTCGAGGCAACAACCCTGGCCGCGCGCTGTGCTCCCTAGCCACAACGAGATTGCGAGCATGCATGCAGTAAAGAGGCACCGTGCGGAGTTGGCCGAGGAGTTAAAGGAGGTGAGGCAACCATTTTGGGTGACTAGCGCCACCATCATCTCTGACGGGAGGAAATCACGAGACGGAAGACCGATCTTTAATTTCCTCGCCGCAGGGTCTCAAGGGGTCGTCATATACACAACGAACAATCGAGAGGGGGAGTCGGACGATGCTGAGCACGTCCTTTGGAGACGGGTCACCATTTTCCATGAGTTAAGGTTCGGCGGGCCGCAGCAAGTCAATGCGATATGCACTGACTCCGCGTCAGCATACGTTGGGGCTGCCAAGGCTCTGACCTCGGAGACCATGACTGCAGCATTGAGGAGGATCACTTGGCTCCCATGCTCAGTCCATGTCTAAAACAAATTGTTGTCAGACATGGGAATGTGTTGTGACGCGTTTGTTGATACTATCACACGCGCTCGTGTGCTGGTGGTGCTTTTCAAAACCCACCAGGCGACCCTTCATTTTTTTAGGAAGTGCAGCCCCAACCTCGGTCTTGTTCTTTCATGCGAGACGCGGTTTGCGTTTGTGCACTTCATGTTGGAGAGGCTCATGGCCCTGCAGGACACTTTGCAAGACATGATGCGAGGGGATGATGCGCGGGGTTTTGCCTCCATCCCGTGGTCTGCCGATGTTTGCTACATGGCGCGTTGGGTGCGCCGACAGATCAGATGGGATCCTTGGTGGCAGAGGGTGGCCACCATTGTCCATAACATGGAGCCTGTGATGCAGTTGCTTCGGCGGATGGATCGTGGAGGGCAGTTCATGTCGCTCATGCTCGAATGGGTACAAGATCTTATGCAGCGGGTGAAGGAGGCATACGCTCCTTTGGGGTCGTCGATCGCAGACCGGATCATGAGGCATGTGCAGGCCTGCACGCAGCCCATGCTAGAGCCGGCCCACTGCGCTGGGTTCTTACCGAACCCCCGCAGACGAGATGTTTGATATTTTTCCGGCAAGGTGCAGGAGTACCATGCTTGGCTTGTCAGGCAAGCCAAGAGGTACATTCTGACGCAGACGGGTTTCGAGTTGGAGGGTGCGGAGTACCTCCTTGCCCGCCGACAGTTCGAGGACTTCCACATGCAGCAGGGCAGGTTTGATGATTGGGGCGGGGCAAAGGGGCGTGCTCGTGGGCGGGGGTGTAGCGATGACGCCGAGACGATCGAGTGCGCGTCTTGGTGGTCCTTGTACGGGGCTGATGCCCCTGATTTGCAGTTGCGCGCTCTTCGTGTGATGCACATGTGGTCTTGCGCCTCTCCAGCGGAGAGGAACAGAGCAGTCCATGAGGGCATCCACATGAAGAAGCGCAACAGGTTCGCCTTTGAGAAGGTCGTGCAACTCGTTGAGATCACCGCAAATGTGCGGTTGAAAGAGTATCGGTGGGCAGGATGCGGCTACGTGCTGCCATGGCAGTGTGACGAGGGGATGTTAAACTGCCGGGCAGGACTGGAGGTTGAGCTGGTGCGCACGGGCACACGCCAGGGGATGACGGCGACAGAGATTGTAGAGTAGGTTGCGCTTATTACGTGAGATTTCATCGGGTCTTCTGCACCGCCATCCGCTGATGCCGTTTTCGAGAGACGTGCTTGCATTTTCCGTCTGTACCTCAGGAACGATGACTAAGATGAGGAGCCTGCACCCGACGGAGTAGATGACCCTACGCTGCCCATCCCCAGCGAGATCGACGAGATGCATGAGGAGACCAATGACGCCGAGGTGAGGACATACACGGCACGACGGGTAGAGGACTGGGCAGAGAGGGAGATGGAGGGGGGGGACGAGGATTTATGGGGCCCTTTCGGGGAGGTGGCTTCCACGGGTGATGTGCGTGCTGACAGAGGCGGGGCCTCTAATGCCGACACGAGCCGTGCAGAGGTGGGGACGCTGACTCCTGCTCCTGCGGGCCGAGAGCCGACCGTTCAGCTACCTCCTGCGCCGAGTCCTGCACCGCCCACCCCAGTCTCGCCTCTTCACCCGGCCACTACACTGGCGGAGACGGAGGAGTTGGCATCCTCCTTGCCTCCACACGGGCTTCTCCAGAGATCGACGGTGGTTCGACAGCTGAGGTTACGATCACCTTTCCCGGGGGTATTGCAGGAGGAGGGGGATGTGGCAACAGCGGCGCAGGAGGCACCAACTGTCTCGACAGCGAGGGAGGAGGTGCCAGCACAGGCGACGGCTGAGAAGGAGTTAGCGGCAGTGGCGCCACAAGAAGCCATTCCTATGAATCATGATGGTGCGGGCATCGATGAGAAGCTCGTGTGACGCTTCATCACGGAGGAGGTCGATCCATGCATGGGGCGTTTGACCCCGGGGGCGGCGATGGAGCTGGGGATTTCGGCTCCCACAGGGGGGGCGGGGTCAGAGATGGGGACGCACTTCGACTTCGACTTGTCGATGGGCGCTCCGCCTACTTGCGGCGGGGAGACATCGACGGATCAGGCGCCATCACGGGACGACGCAGCAGATGCGACAGGGACGCAGACCTTGAGAGAGAGGACGCAAGCGGAGTCTCTAGATACAGCACGCGACATCATGGAGCGAGAGAGGGTTCAACTTATGGCATCGAGTAACCCACGTGCTCAGGAGTTCGCATTGGCCTTGGAGGTGGCCACGCATCGAGTAACCCGTGGTTCAGGAGACAACGATGGGTCCAGTCATTCCGTCCTTGGGCCTACACTTGGCTCAGGGCCGATAGTCGCTGCCGGTTCAGGTGGCAGTGCATGGTGTGCCACCGCCCGTTATCACAGATATGGGGTCCGAGCCGATGGTGGTGCCTCCACGTTCTCCTAGTCACTTTGCTCCGCAGGAGGTCCGTCGTCCTTTGGATGCAGAGGAGTTGGCGAGAGATGTTGTGTGCGATGTTACTCGATTGGACCGGCGGATCTTCGAACAGAGGCTCGCGCATCCAGCATGGCAGGCGATCCCTTCGATTCCATAAGGTCCTGCGTCGCCCGTGTGGTCTGGGTCCACCGCCATCGGAGGACGTACTGTGGGAGATGTTCCAGGGGTTTCGGGTGGTGTGCAGGAGACAACACCACATATGGGAGACATGCCACCCCCTCCTCCTAGACCACCTGTAGGTGATCCATCATCGTCGCTCACAGGTACAGGCTCTCGATCCCCACAGACGCCTGGGAGATCGAGGATTCGTAACACGATTGTAGTTCATCGGGACGTGTGTGACATGACATTATTCGAGAGGACAAACATAAATTTGGATTCCACCAGCCGTGTCACGGAGCACACTGCACACCTTCTGTCGGGCTTGGGACCCCCCGGCGTCAGGACGACCGCAGCGAGGGAGGTACCAGCATCAGGTTGTGAGCCTCAGCAAGGTTGCCACAGAGGAGTGTCCACCGAGACCTTGGAGCACGCTCTGAGAGCAGCGACGTGTGCTGTGTATGAATACACTCCAAGCAAGCATGGAGTGCCTCCTCGTCCATGCCCTGTGGCTGCGGAGGGAGGTGCTGCGCTTGGAGAGAGCTTGGGGGCGGAGAGGTTGGGGATGCCTCCTGGATCCCGCGGTGAGCAGCCGGTTGCAGGGGCTAGTGCGAGGGTTGTTGTGTTGAGGAAGGGAGGAGGCCTTGTCACGGTCGAGGAGGATGATCTTGAGACGAATGCGGCAGTGCGGGCGGAGGACAAGGACTACAAGGGCGAGGAGGAGGGTGAGGAGGAGAGCGAGAGCGGTTCCGGTGGTGACGACGACTACGACGATGATGGACCCACACCTCCCCCGCCGACACGTGCATCTAGAGGCTCCGTTGAGCAGACTTCTTTATCCGCACGAGGGAGGAGGAGGTCGACATCCGACACTCGAGGGGGTATGAGGAAACAAAGCGGGAAGGGGAAGAAGGGTCGTTGACCGTGAGGCCAGCACTCCGCTTTTCCCTACTCGCACTGTACTTCATCATGTTGTGCGGTTCTGCTTTTTTTTGTCGTGTCGTTTTGTCTTCGTATTGTTAGACACTTAGTGGTAGTGTGCGTGCTGTAGTTGTTGTTTCTTTCGTTTTTGGTGTGTATGATTTTGATACCAGTGGGGTGTTTGTAGAGTACCGTTGGTTGCAACAGACCGAGTACATTATCTCGACAGCTACGACATGACTTGTAGAGTACTGTTTCTTATATTTTTTTTCGACATGTGATACCAGTGCCTTAGCAGTAGGATACATTGTATTATGTTACATTTTTCATCTGTGATTTCAGTGATAGCTACTTCGCGTCGTTCATGACTTTTCATGTACATTACATTTTTTTTTTTTTCAAGTACATTTTCAGTTACGAGTGATGCACGTCGTCTGCGCGACGTTTCGTGCCCATTTTGCCAGGTCTGTGATTTTATATCTTTAATTGTTGTTCGCATTTTCAATTTCATTTCTTGCGTTTCTTTCTTTGAAATTATTTTTTTTCTTGAAAGTTGAGTGGTTGTTTTCTTTTTGTTTCTGTGTTAATTGTTAAACCTATTTGCATTGACTGAAATAATAACTGATATTTCGAAGGGTACTTAGTGGTAAGCGGGGGTGCGAGATGGTTTTTTTTTTAGGGGGGGGGG